AAAAAAAAAAAAAAAAAAAAAAACAAAAAAAATTATTGTTAATTCTGCTGAAAACTGCAACCAACCAATTCAGAAGATTTAAAAGAAAAATTGCTGTTGAAAGCGAAGTATGCAAACGAACTTTATACAGAGCAGTTTTTCTTGCAGCAGTTGATTCCAAGTGCAAAGTTTATTTCAGAACTTTTTTTGCTTCAACAAGAAATATACGGAATTTCAAGAATTTATCAGACAGAATGCACTGCGCTTTAGAAAAGAAAAAAATTTTTAAATTTTTGATAAGTTTTGAAAAAAAGTTTGTTTTTTTTTTTTTTATAAATTTTTTCTTTTTGTTTTGTACCGTACTGGAAAAATAACTGAACATATTTAATATATGCAGCAAAAATAGAATGTCGTTTCGTTCGCTGTTTCATCAGTCACACTGCTGCTGTTTCACTGCAACACAGCCAAAGCTGAACGGTAACGACGGCAACAACAGCAAGAAAAAGACGCATCCATTTATGTTCTGCAAATTACAACCAATTCAAAAAATCAAGTTTTACAAAAGGTTTAAAAAGGGAAAATTTGCCGGAACAATGCTAAAAACAGAAAAAATAAAGCAAAAAAAAAATAATAATAAATAAAGTTTATTTAAAATTAGCCATAAATTCGAGGAAAATTTTAAAAGGTAAGGGAACTGTTTGTCGTAGTCGCCGCATCTTATTGCTTTGGAATGACCAAAAAAAGTGGTGTCGAAGACGAATTAATGTAATTAGTAAACCTCGCAGTATTTTTTTTAAAAATTGAGTTGCTGTTAATTCCAAAAAATATTTAATTCACTATGTCCATGTGTCGATTACGTTCCGAATCCTGTCATTAACAAATACTGACTTTCATCTTCTGCGATCACAGCTCTTACTGTTTTATAGAGAAGATGAAAAGTTAGTTTTCAAGATAAAACTCTGAGTATGAGACATCTTCTAAAATTGATACACTTTTTGTTGGTTAAATATTGACAATTGAAAAGCTGTCACCACAAACACCACAGTAACGTTTTGATTTAAAATGAATAATTTCCTAACTCTTCTCCATCAACTTCCTTGATAACATTATCAGATAAATTTAGAAGAACAGTTCGGTTATAAGCACTAAGTTAAGTAAGTATCTGATTGCAAAAAAAAAATTGAAAAGTAAAACGGAGACATATGTAACGTTGAATGGTCATATAACGTTGTAAATTGATCAATGAGAAAAAATTAAAGTGGAGAATCAGTGCAAAGTTTGCTGTTCAAGCAATACAGTGCCTAAGAAGCAGTTTAATTTTTGTTGAAAAATTTAGAAAATTAAATTTTTTAGTAGATAACTATAATTTTAAAAAATTAATTTTTCTCCTTCTTTTTTCACTGCTTTTTTCATTTTTCTTCTTTTCTTCTTAGTTTCCTTAACAGCTGTTTAGCGACTGTAGTTTAATGAGCAATACAAGTGAATTTCCA